AGTCTTGTTTCAGCCTTCCTTTCAAGGCTGCCTCGCTCTCCTTCCAGGCAGACCTATTTGTTCTGCGGGCAGCCTGTGGTACATTCAGTACTCTTCACCAGCCCCATAAGGCGAAAGCTCTGATTCGGCATCAGTTATCCTTATGGACGTCCCGTGTTTGCCTCCATGGGAGGCGATGGGAAATGCCACGGCGTGCAAGGGTCAGACGCACCATAGCCCTCAAGGTCCCATCTTTTCAGGAGGCCATTTGCAGCAGACTTGTTCCCACAATGCAGTGCGCCACTTGGTTTCTTGGCTGCTGTGTCCGTGGGCAATGAGGTTGGGTCCCAGGACCACGGAAGCCTCGACCACGCCCATCTTTGTCTCCATTTCTTCACGATGCTGCGTCTGGATCCAGCCGTGAGGATGTCGGTTGGCTTTGTGTTGAGGTGTCATCCACCGTGGGAGCTAAAGTTTGGGGTCTTCCTTCTATGTTTGTCCAGGCTTCTGAGCTCTGGCAGGTGAGGCGGAGTTGCCTCCACCTGGAGCCTTCCTCCAGGGTCTGACATCACGATCGCCTCCATGCTGTCCAACCTCTCGGACTATTGGCTCAGATTGGCTGAGGATACAGGCGTGCCACACCCTGGCCCTGGTTTGGAAGCAGCTCATTTTGTTGTACTTGGCCTAAATGTGTTTTGCAGGTGGTCCGGCTTTTCTTTTTTTTTTTGCGAATGGAAGGTTCCTGGCAACTGTGGGTCGAGAGAGTGTGTGGACACCACTGTTCCAGCAGCGGGTGTTCACTTCATTCTTTGGGTTGCGTTTGGGTCATTCTTACAACGGTTCACGCTTTATAACAACGTTATTGCACGCCCAACAGATTCCAGGGCAGTGTAAATGTGACTTGTATCAAAGCAAAAAACAGGATCTATCGAACCAATGCCGACTCAGAGTGACCCTCCAGGACAGGGTAGGACTGCCCAGAATAGAAAGCCAAATCTTTCTTCCAAGGAGTGGCTGGTGGTTTTGAACTGCTGACCTTAAGGGTAGCTGCCCACAGTGTAGCAAGTATCCCACACGGGGAAACCAGAGTTCGAGTGACTTGCCTCATTGTGGTGTTCACTTTACTACAGTGTCCTGGGTCTGAGCCTGGAATGCCTCCGAGATGTGCCAGGATCCCCTTCTTGTGTTTAAACGACTGCCTCTTGGTTTGGGTACAGGTTTGACCTGCGCACAGGGAAGTGTTCTGGAATTCCCATTGAGTTAGTTAATTGTGGCAACCTGACCGATAATCACATGTGGGGCTAATTGAAAGGCGGAGGGATAAATGGGTGGTGAGCCTCGCCTTTCTAGTTCTCGGGTCTCTTGCTTTGTGATGGTGGCACCAGGGTGCAGCTGCCTTAGCAGTTCCCTGCTTCAGCTGCAAGATTGACTTCTTACAAGACATCCCCAAGGAGAAGCCACATGGACCTATCCCGATGCAGCCCTGGGTGCTGGAGCAGCCGTGTGGAGACCCTTGTTAGTGCTGAGATGCTTGTTCGTTCACTGACTCAGCTTTCCTCCTGCAGTCGGCATCATTGCCTCTGTTTTGTGAGGTGGAGGACTTTGTGGACTGGTGTTGGGTTGATGGGTTAATGTTGGACTTGTGGGCTTGGGCAGTATTGGGTTGGGATGTTTTCATGATGCACACTCTCTTTACATAAAACTCTCTTATACATGAGTTACTGTGGATTTGTTTCTCTAAAGTACCTAGACTAATACACCATTCTTCTCAAGGTGACCCACAGTCTGCTATGATCCACACAGCCAACAGCTTTGCGTAGTCGATAAGCACACAGGTGAACATCTTTCTGGTAGTCTCTGCTTCCAGCCAGGATCTATCTGACATGGGTAATGATAGCCCTCGTTCCACATGCCCTTCTGAATCCAGCTTCAATTTCTGGCGTTTCCCAAGCCTTGTACTGCTGCAACCGTTTCCTAATTATCTTCAGCATAATTATGCATAATGACATAATTGCATATGATAGTCATGATATTGTTTAGTAATTTCCACATTCCATTGGATCGCCTTTCCTCAGAATGGGCACGCATGTGGATCTCTGCCAGTGGGTGGGCCAGGTAGCTGTCTTCCAAAGGCACGGACCAGTGAGTGTT